CCTGGTTGTTCGTCGTTGGAAAGGCCAGTGTTAGGGAGACATCCACGACAGCACCCTCCTCGTTTTCGAGGATGATGCCCGCACCGCTTCCCGATGGGCTAGAAGCGCCATCGACAAAGATGGTCCACTTGTGAGTTCCCGGGGTTGACTATGTTGTGAGGGTTATCTCGGCAACAAAGTCGGCCAAGACTTGGGCCATGAGGGCTTTTCTTCCTTCGTAGACGATGTCGAACTCGAAGAGTTCCATCGACCACTTCAGCATGCGCCCCGCCATGTCGGGTCGGCCGAGCAATTGCTTGATAGACTGTTCAGTTCTGACTACGATGGTGTGGGCCAGGAAATAGTGTCGGAGCCTCCTGGCCACATTGATTAGGACTATGGCGACTTTCTCGATCTGCTAATATCTTACTTCTGGGCTTTGGAGGGCCTTGCTCGTGAAGTAGATCATTTTCTGCTCGTCGGGGGTTTCCCAGATCAGCACGACGCTTACAACCTCGTTCGACACGGCCAAGTACAAGTAGAGGACTTCCCCGACATCGGGCCTCTTCAGGATGGGCGGTTCTGATAGGACATGCTTGAGGTGGAGGAGGGTTTGCTCACATTCCTCCGTCCATTCGAACGCGGCTTCCTTTCTTAATAGTTTGAAGAATGAGAGGGTGTGCTGAGCGGACTTAGCGACAACATGGGATAGCGACGCGAGCATCCCATTGAGGGACTGTATTGATTTCTTCGTGCTCGGCATTGCGATCTCGGAGAAGGCCCTGCACTTGTTGGGGTTCGCCTTGATCCTCTGTTCGGTTAGGTAGAATTCGAGGAACTTCCCTGCGCGTACCCCGAAGGTGCACTTCTCCGGATTGAACTGCATCCTGCACCTTCGTGTTGTCTCGAAGACTTTCTTGAGGTGCGCTGTGTGGTCGACTTCCGTGCAGGACTTGGCGATCATGTCATCCATGTATACCTCGAGCATGTCGTCGATCTCTCCCCGAAAGACTTTGTTCATCATCTGTTGGTAGGTGGCGCCAACGTTCATTACGCCGAAGGGCATTACGTTGTAGTAATAGTTGCCCGACTCGGTCATAAACGATGTGCTCTGCTTATCGACCTCAGCTCTGGGGATCTGGTCGTACCCCGAGTAAGCGTCCATGAAGGACAGTAGTTTGAAGCCCATCGAGTTATCGACGAGCTTGTCAATGATGGGGAGGGGATAGGCGTCCTTAGGACATGCCCGATTGAGATCTGTGTAGTCAATGCACATCCTCCATTTTCCATTAGATTTCTTGACTAATACAACGTTGAACATCCAGGTTAAATATCGGGCTTCCGAAATAAAATTTTCCTCTAGGATGTCTTTTACAGGTTTTTTAGTTGCCGCCAACTTTTCGGGGGACTGCCTACGTCTACGTTGTACTACGGCCCTAGCGGTTGGGCTGATGGAGAGCTTGTGGCAGGCGACCTCAGGGTCAAGTTCGAGCATCTCTGCGGCGCTCCAGGCAAAGAGGTCAGCATTCTTACGGAGGTAGGTCTTCAGTTGCTTCCTCGCTAGGTCGGGCAGCCCCGCCCCAATCTTTACAGTCCTTGTCGCGTCTGCTCCGAGGGTTACGATCTCGAAGTCCCCATCTGGGATGGGGCGCGTTGGATGGATAGGCTGCCCGTTGGTGGTCGGAGGAGTGTCGCTGGCTTTGTCCTCGTGGTCTAGCTCTTCGGCGAAACGGCAATCGAGGTCCACGACATCAACGCCATCCTTCGGTTTGTTCTCCTAGACGGTGGAGGGCTTAGTTGCTTTGGTTGCGGGACCGATTGTACTAAGGCCCTTCATCGTTGCTTCAAAGCACCGTCAAGCAGCTTCTATGTCCCCGTTGAGGGTGACGACGACTCCCAGCCTGGTGTAGTACTTCATCTTCAGGTGGACGGTCGATGGCACTGCGGTAAGTTCGGCCAGCGTCGTCCTGCCTAGGATGCAGTTGTACAGAGACGTGCATTCGATGACCAGGAAACAGACGTTGATTTCTCTGGCTGTTTCTTTTTCCCCGAAGGTGACCTTGAGCTCCACGTATCCCCATGGTCTTGTCGTCGTCTCGTTGAAGCCCTGGAGGTCGGAGCCCAGGTAGAGGCCAGGTTGGACTTGTCGAGCTGAAGGGTATACATGATATCCAGTGAACTCCCTCCGTCGACCAGGATGTGTCGGACGTTGAAGTTGGCCATTTGTGCTCGTATCAGCAGAAGGATGGCCGAGTTGGGGGATCCCCCAGGGAACTCCTCGAGATAGAAGGTGATCGGGTTGGATCGACCGCGGAACTTGTCGAGCGTGCTCATCTTGCTGAAGTTGTTGTTCATTAGCTCGTCGAACTTCCTTTTAACCGATCCGACCGAGAGCTTGCTCGGGGTCCCGCCCGAAATAACCATTACCATGGGGAAGTATTCCCACCGGGTAACGGGGGGCAGTGGCTCCTCGGGCAACTGAAGCTCGGAGGGGAGACCGAATCCTCTTAGTGCGAACCAATCCTCAGGAAGACTAACGCTGAGGGCCACCTATAGGCCACAGTTGTTGTCGGGAAGGGGCAGGTCCTCGACTCTTTTGGGCTCGGGAGCTTCCTATCGTGGGGTGTCTCCTCCCCTGGTGTACCTCTTCAGGTGCCCGTCCTTGATTAGAATTTCAATTGCATCCTTCAGGTGGATACAATCATTTGTCACGTGCCCATGGCTTTGGTGGAAGCGCCCGTATTTAGATTTGTCCACGATGGCTTTGGTGGGTGCCGGTTTTGGAAAACGGACACCTCCTCGGACAAACTCTGAGTTGGCGCACTCGATCAGTATGTGCTCGCGGGAAGCGACCAGGGCCGTGTATTCAGTGAAACGACCAACTGAGCCCCTCTGCTCCCAAGACGATCCTCTTGTCGTCGGTCTCCCCCACGCCGTGGGGCTGATGCTCTTTCATCTCGGGACCCGCATGGGGTTTCTCAGTTGCGGGTTTCACGGGCAGTGTTGACGGCCTCCGTCTCCTCGAACCGGATGTAGTGGCGGACTTTCTCGAGGAAGTCTTAGAGGGTGTCTAGCCGGTGGATGGCCACAACCTCGTAGAACTTGGAGCCTCGGCGTAGACCTTATTCCATTAGGTAGCACTTCATATCGTCTGAAGTCGTTACCTGAACCGCCTCCCTTGTGAATCTCTCGATGTATTTTTTGATAGGCTCATCTAGGGCCTGGAGGATCACGCCCAACGCGGCCTCCGTCGTTGAATGTCGCCTTGACACCGTGAAATGCCATGAAAACAGATCCTTCAGCACCCTCCACGACGTGACGGACTCAGATTCCAGACTCTTGTACCATACCATGGCGCCTTTCCTCATCGTCGTCGGGAAGAGCCTGCACTTGATGGCTCCCCAGATGTTTCTGTAGTCGAGCATCGCCTCGATATCTTCCAGGTGATCGTCTGGATCCGAGGTGCCATCGTACGTCGAGAGCGCGGGTGGTTTCTCCATCCCGTAGGGGATGGGGGTCACCATGATTCCCTGGGATAAATGGGTTCTATAGTCGTACTCGTGATGCGAACCGGGGATTGCGGATGCGACGGTTCGTGTCGAGGAGGGGGTTACGCCTCCTTGGTCTTCTGGCTGGGACCTTGGTTCTGGGGAGTGTCTCTCCTTCTGGGGTGGTGACCTTGCTTGTTTTATGGAGGCCACGGGTTGAGGCCTCTCCAGCTGTGGTCGGCGCCTCTGTGGTTGGGGAGAGGGGCTCCTAGAGTTCCCGCGCTGATTTCCCCGCGGAGGGGAGCGGGATGAGGTGTCGTGTTCCAGCGTGACGATGCGCTCATTCTGTTGGAACAACATCTGGTTTGTCTGGTTGATAGTTGCGAAGAGGGCAACCATCGTCGGGTCCATTCCAGCCGGTGTAGGAATGAGCTGAGATACCATCGGGCTCCTCGCTCGAGGAATGACTTGATGTGCGGCGTCCTCGGGTGAAGGGGAGGCAGTTTGGCCGTCCCTGCCGTCGATCTCTCGGGGTTAAGATGTCCCCGACGGGTTATCTCCGTTGGTGACCGGGGTGAAGGCAAAAGTGTGGACAGTGTCATTGTGACGTGGGCTAGTCATGATATTGGAGTTTGAAAAGATTAAGTTTTTGTTCTCTGCTTGGAGGAACAGGGAAGCTTAGTTTCCCACAGACGGCGCCACTGATCGTATCTGACCAGAAGGGAATTAGTGACCTACCACGCGTCGTTGATCTGCTAGTTGTCTGCCAAAAGTATGGAAGAGAAGGGGGTGTACTTGAAACACACTCCGATGCCAAAGTAAGTGACGAGTAGGGTGGAAGCAAGTGCAGAGAGAGAGTAAGAAAGTTAAATTACCTGACCCTCTAGTGAAGATGGTATTTATAGTGAGCCCCCAGTGTAGGGCCAACGGTTACCTAGCACTGGGTTGGGCTGTCAGGCCCAATGTTAGTAACTGTTAGGGCTGACGTGGCGTCATGAAGACCAGAACGTGGTCTTCGCCCTAAGGTAACGGTTCTGCACTATCAGTTGATGTCATACCAACTACTTCAATAAAGGTTGTCTGTACTTATTTATTTTGTAAGTAATGTCTATAATAAACACAATAGGAAACATATTCAACAACTTCACTGATTTTGGATGCCCCCAGAAGATATCTCTCACAACTTCATACTCATCTTTTTTCCTACTCAAATAAACATAATCAGAATCCTCTATTAACTTAAACAACTATTTCATTTCCGTTCTAGGTCCCCTGATATTTAGTTTGAGTTATTCGAGTCACATTCTCTGAATCTCGTTCTTGCAATGACAACAATATGTGTCTTGGTGGAACATGGCGTTTTGACAAATCAGCAATATGTTGTTGGTCATCAGCATTAAGTCGACTTACAAACGCATAACCTTCAAATCTATCAGGTAAACGATGGTTGTGAAGTCCACATTTTTCGTCAATCTTCCAAACAGAACCATCTTTAGAAGGTGTTGGCCTAACTTTGAATGGAGAACAACATTTCTAGGTAGCACTTTGTGTTTCACTGTCTCCTTCTTTGAATTTTCCACCTCTATCATAACCAAATATAACTTTGTCACTTCTTCCTCTCTTGCCAGTTTTGATGTCTGAATGAGTTATAACAACAGTGACTCCATTTTTTATTCCAACCTCCCTAATCCACCTAGTCGCCTCTTCTCGTGTAGCAAATTTTCCTGTAGTCGAGAATACCTTCGTCGTATCTACAGATGTCTGTTTTTTGTCGCATATCATCAAAGGAATGTTCATGTCTCCTAACATAAGTACAAAAAATTAATTAAAAAAATACAAAAACATGTTCCGAAACTCTTATGGGTATGTTATCCGGTTCTTAAAATAACTCAACCAGAACACTTCAACACAAATTTTCCGGAAGTATAAAAAATACAAACCAGACCACTTGTAGCAATGTTATCAAGAAATTTTATGTGATTCAAAAACAAACCGGATAACTAGCATACAAGTTATCCGGTTTAGTAAAATTACACTCCGAATGTACGAACATCAAAATTTTCAGTTTGATAATGATAGAAACTAGATTTCTTTACTTGTAGTTATCTGGTTCTCGTCGTGTATTTTCAAACCGTTGTTTTTGAGTCATTTAATTGTATGCTAAAAATGTAAAAAAATAAAATTAGAATATTTGCAGAATTGTAAGAGTATGGAGATAAATGTAAGGATATAAGATAATTTTTTTTTTTAATTAATGTTTTGGGTCTAAATTTATCTACCCATCATAAATTTTATCAGAATTTCTCTTACCACTATTATTGTTTGGATATATATTACTTATAGTAATTTATTATATGATATATAGTTTTATTTATTTTATTATTATCTATATTTTAGTTGAAATATATACATTTTATTTTATTAGATTAAAAGTTAACCAAAAACATTCATATAAACAATTTTTAATATTTGAACTTAAAAGTTATGAATAAAGTAAATATTTTAAATAATTATTCTCCCATTTAATAAATAGTCATTGGATAATTAAAATTTAAATACGTTTTCTCAAGTCATATAAATACTAAATAAAAAAATATTATTAAATTAACTTTATAATTTAAAAATAAAAAAACTATTTTATAATAAATAAGATAAAAAAAGTCAACCGCAAAAATTCATATCAACAATACATAATATTTGAACTTAAAAGTTATGAATAAAATTAATATTTTAAATACTTATTCTGCCATTAAACGAATAGTTAATGGGTATTTAAAGTTTAAAGAATTTTTCTCAAATCATAAAAATACTAAAATAAAAAAATAACTTTTAATTAGTTTTATAATTTGAAAATGAAAAAAGTAATGTTAACTTATACCTCTAGAACTGAACATGAGTTAAGAAACATAATTATAAAAAATTTGTATTGAAAACAACAATAAAAAAAATTAATTATACATTTTTTTTTAAAATTAATGCATAACTTTTAAAACAATGTTTTTTATTGAGTTCTTAATTTGCGCATTTAGAATATGGGTAATGTTAACTTGGGCCCTTGAGGCACATGTTAAGGAAATCACTTTTAGTAAATTTGTATAGGAAAAAACAATTTAAAAATTAATTTTATACTTTAATTTAAATTTGTACACAATTTCCAAGATGATATTTCTTAATTTAGTTCTTAACATGTGTCCCAAGAGCACAAGTTAACATTACCCTTAGAATATAAGTTAGCATTACTCATAAAAAAAATTAATTTTATAAAAATTAAAAATATATAATTTATAAACTGAAATAATCAACCATACACACAAAAAAAGCACGACATTGACTCGAATACAATTAAAAAATGTTATTGGTTTAAAATAATTTTATGGGTTAAGAATTATTTTTACGAGAGTACAGTGTGTCACTAATGATAACATATAATTTCTGATTTATGAAATTGGTTAATTTTTATCTACTCACCTCAAAAAATTGGATAGAATTATTTATAGAGTAAATTAAAAATATATAAAATTTAAACTATTAAATAAATAATAAAATAATATAACATTAGTTAATTAATTCAAGGTACACTACCCAAATCTTTATGGTGGATAGAGAAGTCGTTCTCTATTAAATTAACGCAAATATTTTTAATTAAAGTGTGTAACTAACTTTACGGGTTAAAAATGATTTTTAGGGAGTAATGTGTTATTAATATAAATTAAAAATTAAAACAAATATTTACAATTGATGCATATAAAAATTTGAGGCAAATGGTATATTTTTGACAAATATAGAAATAAATAAGTCACAAGACAAATGTTTCTCATTAACAAACAATAATTAAAATGCTACAAATATTAATTTTTATATAAAAAATATGAAACAATTATTTTTGGTAGATTTAAGTAACATGAAATGGGTGGTTTAAATAGATTTTTTTTTAAAATTGAGAAAAAATTGAAATTATTGATTAAAAAAATTAAAAAATAAAAACTTATTAATCATTGTTGATACAAATATATTTTTAAACCAAAAAATATATATACATTGATAATACAAATATTTTTATAAACGAAAAAATTTACTATTGATATAAATATTTTTATAAATATAAAAAAAGTGTATTGTTGATACAAATGTTTTAATTACATTAAAAGGATCCTTGAACACGTTGGTTATTTTGTACTAAATACATGAACATGTCTGAATTCCCAACAGCATTTGGTATATTTAGGATCTCATATATGAATGAATTAATGTGTGAAAATTTGAAAAAAGTACAACTGAAAGTAGCAGGCAGCCCACCAAGCGAGTTGTCTTATATGAATGAACTGTTGTAATGTTTGTATTTTCAGCCTGTTTGGAGCATATCTTATGCTTGTATCTGACCATGAATTCTTTCTTGCTCAAATATGAATAAAGCTACACTTAAATATCAATTGACCAATTCATATCAGAGACAAGAAACATGAATTTAAAGGTTTAATCGGTACTATCACTCTACCATCATCCTAAAGGCAATCTTAGATAAAACAAACCATGCGGTTCTTAAACCAGAGATCAAATGATATTACTCTCTTATACATCATTTTGCAAAGACGGATATAAGGGAATTATTGGAAGTTAGATATGTTTTGTAAACTTGACACACTTGTTCCAAACATTATGCTTTATTAAACATGAGATGATAATAATAGTGAAATGGGAATGATGTGAAGAACTGACATGTCCTCCGAGTGTTGGTATAGAAAATCTCAATATATATATAAAGGAGGGTGTTATTTTTGGTTCATAAGTATTTATTGGCTGGCATGTTCCATTGTTGAAGGAGCTAAATGGTTTACAGAATGAATTTTGGAAAGATGAGATCCAGATCTTGTTTGAAACATGATAAAACTGAGAAGCAATAAGCATCACCAATTTTTAGAATTGCAATGATGAAGTTATGTGTCGGTAGAGGAGGCAAATAAATTGATGAGTAATGATGTTTTTGGATTGCCAACACTAGAAGGACATGCAAGTTATACTCATCATGCATCTCAAACTCAAACTCATTTCAATATCATAGCATCTTTGCAGAATATCACATGCAATACTATTAACAAATTCACAATGTTGGGTTGACATGTCACAAAAGCTAATCAAATTCAAAGGAAAATCATGCATGCACCACATGCTCTACACCATGATTAACAAGTGCTACCTATTTTATTTCTTTATTATATGAACTTAATAAATATCAACTAATATCATGAATAGCTCTTATATAAAAGGAGATTCAAGGGTTTGGTAACATCACACAAACATTGAGCTTTACAATTATCTTTGAAGAAAATATGATCAAATTCAAGAGCAATATGGCAACAAAGAACCATGTTCGCTCTAATAGTTTTCCATCTCAATCTCATCCAAGCTCTACAAGAATAAAACAAGAACTCAACAAAATCAAGACATGGGAAGCCTCATCAACAACTACATCTGATTCAATTAGCAATGGTCTTTCCAAGCTTGAAGATTTGTATATTTCTTTGGAAGATCATCTCAATATGACATCAACGAAAAAGGTCATTTCTCATCACCAAGATGAGAAATTCGTAGAAGAATTGTTGGATGGTTCAATTAAAATTTTGGATATTTGTGGCATCGCAAGAGACACTGTCAGAAATTAAAGAAAATGTTCAATCACTTCACTCTACTCTAAGAATGAGAAAGGGAGATTCAAGCATTGAAAAAAGTATATCCAAATATAAATTCTTCACAAAAAAGATGAATACGAAAGTCACAAAAATGATCTCGTTTTAAAACATATGGAATGTAAATTTGGAGCTTCCTCGCTTTTAAATCAAAATCAAGACGTTGTTGTTGTGATAAACATGTCTCTCTTTCAATCCATTGTCTTTCTTGGCTTCCAAGTCAAAGGCAGCCAAATGGTTGAAAGTGGCAAAGTTGATGCATAAAAAGGAAGTATCATGCGAAGAGAAATTGGAGAATTTCAATGAATTTCAAAAGTGTAGAAGCATCTTTGAGAACCCTTTTAAGAGAAGGTTCTGATGTTGCCAAGATGCAGGCTACACATGAAAGATTGGAGGCTTTGGAGAATGCAGTTGAAACGATAGAAAATGGTCTGGAGTGTGTGTTTAGGCGTTTGGTTAAAGCTAGAGTTTCTCTTTTGAACATCATCACTCATTAGTTTGTTGGGAGTGGATATAAAATTCAACATAGTAATGAAATGGATACAAAATTCAACATAGTAATGAAATGGATATAAAATGACATTACTCCACTGGTCAAGACCTGCATACTTCAAATAACATTAACATAATTAGGAGGACTGTGCAAAAAGTCTGTAAAAACGCATCTGAATGTGATAATTCCAAGATACACTCTAATTTGAGTTGAATGTGTCACAAATCATAAAATTCAAACCTAAACTTGAACTAACCTTGCAGAGCCCTCAAATAAGAGGACTCTTCCAAAAACTTGTGTATGCCGCTTATTGTAACATTGACACGGTATTCTTTAGTAAAAGGCGAAAGAATAGTTCGCTATGTCATCATCACACGGCTCCAAGATTATAACTAACAGAGGTCCTTTCATTTTATATGTGAGTAATTTAGTTTCGTTTGCACAGTAGAAGATGTGGGATTTTGGTCTGTTACCCACTCTGTTGATCAGACCTTTAATAACTAACCAATTGAATATCAACGCAAATATAGCACATGAAACAACAATGAATAATAACTCACCTAGCAACAGAGGAGCTGTATTGAGCTAATTGATATATTCCATCCAAACTTGAGAGTTACAAGAAAACTAATTATATTATTCCCACTCCGGTTAAGCACATATAAGCACGGCTTTACTCAAACAGGATCTGCTCTATAGGCTCGTATACTCAGCCTCCTTGACTAAACGTCGGAATTGACCTCCATGTGATGGGCATCATCCTCAGCCTGTAGATAATTGTTCTCGGTTGGTTCTTATAGCCGGGGTGTCAGACAGACTCAAACCTTTTACCTTTTTGTTTTTGCATTGCAATAAATCCAAAACATCATCAAGTACAAATTTTAATGACAACACACCCAGAAAAGGAAAGTTGATTTTCTAAGAAAGGAGTGGCATTTTATTATTTACCTTCCCGAAGAGAACATGAAAGATTATTGTTGTTTATGCTTTCGGGTCCCTTTCCCCTCTTCAAAGCTTAACAAGGAGATCTTAGTGAGAAACCAAAGCATTAACTGAAAGAGCTTTTTCTTCTCTTTGAAGGGTTTCATCTTGCAGCGAACTTCTGCAGCTGGTTCTATTTTCTGTAGTCTCTAAAGAGAAAACTTATTCTTAGTTCAGCTGGTTCTATTTTCTGTAGTCTCTAAAGAGAAAACTTATTCTTAGTTCAGCTGGTTCTATTTTCTGTAGTCTCTAAAGAGAAAACTTATTCTTAATTTGGATGGGCTGCGCGAACGCAAGCCCACAGCAACAAATTAGGACCCCTCCAAGGTGCAATGGAGGTCACTTGCCTAGGCCATGGACCTTGATGATCATCCATTGATCACTTGCCTAGGCCATGGACCTTGATGATCATCCATTGACCCCATTCAGGTAAGTATGTTGCTATGTATCACACACTTATATTTTATACCTCATGTTCCGTACAATTCACTCTAATAATTCCGATGTGGGATATAGAAAACATTGTATCGATTCATTCTAAGGAAGAAAAGGTGAAACTACCACATCTCAGTGCTGGAATTGAGTGAACACAGCCTATATTCATTTAGTGGGATGACAGTTTATACACCAGCTCACATAGTGCTGGAATTGAGTGAACACAGCCTATATTCATTTAGTGGTTCAACAGTTTATACACCAGCTCACATAGTGCTGGAATTGAGTGAACACAGCCTATATTCATTTAGTGGATCAACAGTTTATACACCAGCTCACATTTGCCACTTCGATTAGCATCAAAATTGATAAAGTGTTTACAACCGTGTTGCAGTTGTCAAATCTCTTAAGTGAACATGGGAAATCTTTGTTCCATGATCTACTAATTTTCTCTATATGTTTTTTACTACAGTTATTAATATGTATAACTAACTATGATTTTGTTATAAAATTAAATGAGGGAGTTGAAGATTGTCATTTTATGACTAGGCAAACGACTATTATGATGTTCAGTTATTATATAGCTTTAACAAAATACAAAGTTTGAACTAACTGTAAATATTGAAGAATCAACAAATATTGAACTAAATTGTAGGACTTTACCCAGAAGGGAGTCCTTCCAGAAATTCTCATAGGCTTGAGTTGAACCCAAGCCTAAGAGGGGGTTTGGAAATAGTTTTCAACCAGCAATAGACGCGCCTCGGTTAGAACCTCACTAGCTGCGTCATTGCCCCAAGCGCAAAGATAGATTGTAACATTGAAAAGCTTCCTTTTTATATAACTTCAAACGTATCTAATTCCTCTCATTAGCAATGTGGGACTAGGAAGTTTTAGCAACAACTAAGACATGCAATAGTAGAAAAATAGCAAAGTCATCAAACAAGTCCAAAGTTAAGACAAGCAGTAGTAGAAAAATAGCAAAATCATCAAACAAGTACCAAAGTTCCTGAAGTTTACTTACTTCTAACCCAGCCACAAAATGACAATGGTAACATATCCAGCTACATGATTTCTTTTGTCCCTCAATGCATTTCCAACGGTAATTTCTCATATACAAGTAACAAAATATTCAAGACCAAACTAAAGACAGTTCCAAGTCATTGATTATCAAAATATTCAAGACCAAACTAAAGATAGAGTTCCTGGTCATTGATTATCGGTAGCAATTAATCATACAAACAAAAATAGATAACACTCAATATAGGCATAAATATAAAAAAATATAGAGAGAAACTTGAACTAAAAGTGCAGACCCCTCAATATAGAGGACTCTTCTAAGGAGACCAGAACATAAGTCTGGTGGGGTGGATGAATCACGACCGTGTGATCAGACGATGTTCTGACAGACTCGACTATTTTTTTAATCATGATTTTGCATCATACCCAAAACATCATTTGCAAATATTAGTGGAAAAAAGTTGATTTTTTGAGAAAGGAATGATATTGTTTTTACCTTGCTTGGTCCACAGAGAGAACACCATGGAAGCTTCTGGTTGAATTTTCCTTATGGTGTTGTTGATGAAGTCCACAGAGCTTTGCAAGTGGAAATGGAAACAGTAAAGTAGGGAGTTAGGGTTCTTCCCTCTCTCAAAGATAACCTAGAGACTAGTGCACCATATATAGTCATAATGCACGACAAATTTACGGTGGAAAACCGAAACGTTTTGGTGTTTTTGCTTTATTTCTTTTCTTCTACTATTTCTTTCATTTTTGGGTTTGGTAAAGTGCTTTTATTCTTGTTCCAAGAAAAAAGGGCGATTTATGGTGGAGTTGCCACATAATGGTAATAATGGACATTATTGTGACACGCTTTTGTCCATAATTGTGTGTAGATAAGGTAAATAAAATTCAACTCTCATCTTTCTAAGAAATTCCTTGAAATTTTAAACATGTTTTTTTTTTTAATTATAAAATTTGAAACTTGTGTTTTAAATGTTCAAATTTTTTTTATGTTAAACAATGTTTGAATTTTAAAATTTGAACATTTCGTGCGATCTATTAACTTTTATTTATGGGTGCACTTATATTTTCTATTTATATGGGTGCACTTATATTTTCTATTTATGTTGGAGGTTTGGATTTTTAAATTTTAATTGCTTAATGTTGTTTTTCTATTTAAAGATTAATTTGTATGGTGATTTCTTGTTATCGTATTTGTCAATTTGTAATAATGGATAGGAATAATATATTTAAAACGTATTACAAATAACATAGATTCATTCAATGTCTCTACTAGACATATGTGTCAACGTAAGATCTAAACGAATAGAGATGAATCATTTGATCCACAACTTCAACTTAAAGAGTGTGTGGCGGGTGTTTGAGGTTCATGCTGAGGATAACTCAAAGACTCGTATAATGCATCATTACTTATATGGTGTATTCCATTTTGCTTATAATCTCCTTTCTTGTTTTTATATGCATAAATTTCGATTCTTCTTCTCCGAAATCATTGTTGATGTAGATAAAAAAAAATTGTGATTAACTCAGTATATAATAGAGTGGGGTTTTTCTTTTTTCTATCTAGCATGTGATGAAGTATGACATCAATCCAATTTTTTTCAACTTGGTTTTCCAAAAATCAATTGTAGGACGTCTGATTTTTGGATGATGCTAAACTTACTTTTCTTTGGAAAAAGCACATGATTCATTGTATAATGAATCAATCTAATGTTTGGGCATATAAGGCTGACATTGAATGGATATGGGATTCTGGAAGAAGGATCAATTCGGAAAGTGTGACCATAAACATCGAAAATTAAATTCATTGCCTTCAAGATTCGGTTGATCATAATCTTACCTCAATGAATGATAGGTTACAAACTTGTGCAAAATCTTCAAGAGATAGGGTGATAGGGCGCTTCTTGACTTTGGACTCAATGATTCCATCTTTGTAAGTGAGATTTGCATAAAACATTCTTACTAATTTGAGGCATCTCTCTTGAGGTTTCTAAAAAACGATGTTTCTTGGCCCCATAAAGTTGAAGGCTTCCGTGAAAGCACAATC